TAAATGTTGGAATTTGACCCTCCACCAAAATAGTTTTATGAGGCATATACTGTAGGTTTGAATTTGGCTGACAGTGATTACTATGACCTAGGACATGTTAATTAACCTTCCTAAGACTTGTGTTTGTAGCTGGTGGAGACTTAGTGATAATAATGGTAAAAAGAATTCTAAAGTGAGTTCTAACCAAAATATTATATGTGCTGCTTATTAGCCCATTGCCTTGAACAGAGAAGATTTAATACATGTATGTTTGATTGGAATAGACAAAATGGAATTTCACCTTCATATTAATGAATTAATGAATAAACTATTTACTTAGTTTTTTTTCTGCTTACACATACCATTACCATACTGCTCTGCTTACTAAATATTACTATTGTCATAAATTTATATGCATTTGGGACCAATAGTTGGACAATCAATTGTAAGTTCAGAGCATTTAATAATAAAGATTATACACATATATCTGAAATATTTTATTTTGATTTAAAACATTTAAATAAATATTCATCTGTATTTTGAGATATGACCGACTCTTTTATTGGAGTCTCTGTTTGCTAACTAGAGTCTTATGCTGTATTACCTACAAAACCCTTCTCTGTGAGTATGGCCCATCTATTCAGTTTTTAAACTTGAAGATACTCATAAAACTAACTGATTGCATATAATACTTCTTGATGCTTTCCTTATTGTTTTTTTCTAGAATTGTATTGCTTACTTTAAATTCTATGGTGGGTTGGTTTTCTTATTATTTTTGCAGGGTTTTTGTTTGATTGTTTGTGGGAGGGGGCAGTAGTGTTCAACTCATCCCAAAACATTCAATTTACTTTTCATAGAAATATAATTATTTTTTCATCAATGTTTGATACTTTACATATTTAATTGAATTAATTTATTACAGTTATAACTAGCACCCACTAGATCAGCAACAAATGTACAAGTGGCTTTTATTAAGCATGAGACTCCTCCAGGAAGATCAAGCACAAGATGCATGCTAGAGAGCAGGCATACCCACCAGCCTGCTGGGACATCAGGTGGTTTTACAGAGGACCAGGGAAGGCAGGAGTGAATCTGAAAAGTGAATAGTGGCAAAACTACTTCAGCTGTACAGACGAGTTTTGTAAATAGAGTGGAGGAAGCAGAATGAAGGGGATGAGACTAAGGCATTTGCTCCCAAGTTCATTGGCTAATTAAATTGCCAAACCAAAGAAAAGAACATGATAGAACGAGCAAAGATTTTAGAGAACAACTGATTCAGCCCAGCCACAATCTTCACTCTCTACAGTCATCTGCTAACATTTGATGGATGAGGGAAGACAGATAGGCTTGAAATAGAAAGTTCTTCAGTTCCCAACATTAAAAATGGAAGACGACGGGGGAGCATGAGGCTATCAGAGAGGCAGCCAAAACTGTCTTTAAGAAGAGATGTGGAAGCTTGGGGAAGAAGTCCTGGGACTAGTCTCAGCACCACATAAATAAATAAATATATGGATAGATAGATACATAAAATAAAGGTCCATTGATAGATACACACACACACACACACACACTATATATATATATATATATATATAAAGTAGAAGATCAGAGGACTTTCAGATTTTCTTCAAGAATGAATGGTTTCCACTAAAGAATGAATAGACAGGGTAAGAGAGGATTAAAAAAAAAAACAACAATAGAAAATTTCTACCTTATTCTTTATAAATCAAGGGTAAAACACAAGAAAGAAGTGGCTCTTCTACAGAGAGCACTTTATGCTTTTGTAGACACCCTTGTACATGCTGCTGTGGTTGTTCATCAGTGGTTATTTGGAGACTGCATTGCATAAAAATTCATTTTAAAACTCTTATTAGGTTTTAAGTATCAGCTGGCAAAAGGAGCTCTAGCCAGTGATATGGTGGTCTGTTCTATATCTTCATTTTCCTTGAGTTTTCAGGAAACTCAGAAGAAAGTGACAGAAAAGACTGAGACAAAGAGCTCTATTAATCTTGCCCATCCTCTCTGTCCAGTAACCAGTTCCAGAAATTCTGTGTGGGAATTGGGGCTAACCGAAGATTGAGACCTAAACATCCAATTCTGGCCACACAGAGTTCTGTCTTTTTACCAAAGTGGAAATTTTTCAAATAAAACACAGAGATCCTATTGAACTCCCTGAAAACAAGCCTGTAATTCCTCAAGACTTTCTGATTTTTAAAAATGTAGATGATGTGTCCATATGGTTGCCTTGGAGAAATGCCTTTGCTGCTTACTCTCTAATCCTTATATCAAGCTTCTTTATTTATTCTTCTCTGAGCATTTCTCTCATCCCAACTTCCCTGTATGCGAAAAAAATGGCTACTAATTTCCAAAGCATGGTTTCAGGAAACCAACAATGTCATGTCCAATTACTTAGAAAAATATACATTTTATTAGCATTCTTAGTCACAAAGGTTGAGTTACCCTAATTTGAGAAGCTAGAAACAAGTTTTAGATTTTAGTTTTTTTTTTTAATTTGGGAATATTTGCATAGACTTTACCCAATGAGAACACCTAATTTAAAATTTCAAATCTGAAGTTTTTTTGAGCACCAATATGATGCTTAGAAAGATTGGAATTTTGGAGCATTTCAGATTTTGGACTTCCAGATTGGGAACATAAGCATCATTGTTTGGGATTTCTCATCCCATCCCCATCACTTTTAAGTAAGGGAGAGTCAATACTGATGATCAGATGGAAACACAGGCCATGTTGTATGGGAACAGCGCAACAATGAGAAGTTAGGCTGGGGAAAATCTCGGGGTTGCAATACACCAGGATGTGGCTCACTTAACTGTAGCCCTTGAGATAAAGGGTCTCTCTGGGTCTCTGAGTCACGCCTCATGAAAGCAGACAGAACTCCAAAAGTGGCTTTCCAGGAAATTTAAAGTAAACAGCAAGAGGATTTTTTTTTTCTTGCTGCTTTCATATGTATTTACAAGTTGTGTAAGGAAAACCTCATTTGATTGCATTGAGTATTTTAGAACTATTTGAACTAAATCCACGCATAGGGCCTTAAAAGATGCCTGTAACATATTCAAATGACCAACAAGAAAGTCTGTCATTTAATCTTGCTTTTTTTTTTCCTTCAAGATAATAAAAAGCCCCCAGGGAAATTCAAGAACAAGCTGTCCCCAGAAACTCCCAGGTCAAGAGGCTGTCTTGCAAAGACTGCTGAAGCAGCCCCGAGTTCTCACTATATTCTGCTTCGTTGTTGTTGTTGTTAGCTGGGACTCCCTTACATCAAATCACTCTTTGAAAATTGCTCCTTGCTAGAAGATCTGTGGCCCTGAGTGAGATGTTTTGTGCTTTTCTTCTGGTTTGTCAGTTCATACTAGGTCCAAGCAGCCCAGACACCTGCCATGTTCCAGTATGAAATGAATGAAATTACTTACATTAAAGTACCTAAATGTTTATGAAAAAAGACACTCTTTACCTGTACTACCTCTAATTCAAAACTGATTGCTGTTTCTTTAGCTTGGCATGCTTTTTCCAGTTCAGGGGGGTTTCTGTGACATTTCCTGAGCTCTGCAAAGAAGTGAGTTTGGAAAAAATTATTGTGTTTGGTTTGCCACCTCCCAAGAGTCTGAAAATAGTCAGTGTTGATTCCTGCACCAAAAACAAACAAGAGAAACCAAACAAGCCACTCCCCCCCCCACAAACAATACTGCTTCTTCTCAGTGTGTGTTTCCTGAAATTAGTGTGAAGAATTTCTCCAGTGCTCCCTTGAAGCATTGAAGATGTAGAATAACAAAGATAGATGCCCACGCGAAGCTGGTGAAACGCTTTTTCCTGATGAAGACTCCTTCCTGCCATTATGTGTGTGGCAACTTCTGAAACCTTGCCTGCTCCTTGGAAGTTTCCCCAAATAAGGAGAGGGAGTGATTTTATTTTGTAGATATCACTCACCCATGAGAGTCACAAGTGTTGACCCAAATGACCTTTGGAGAAAATGTCAACCTCAAAATTCCAGTGGATGGTGAGCTTATGGAGACAGTAGTCATGTCGGACTCACCAGCATATTCCTGGTGCTTGACTCCTAATGGATCATCATGGAATGAATGAGGACTGTGGGTGTGATCGTGTGTCTTCACACAACACTGACTCTTGACTTTGTTGCTCATCATAAAGTCTTATAATAGGAAAATAAAGAGATATCATCTAGTCTTAAATATGACTATTGTGACCACTCCACTTAGAAATTAAGATCTTCTCACCTTGTCCTCCAAGTTTACCTGATTTTTTTCTTTTTGTTACAATACTTCTATTAATAAATTATTTATCTACAATGTATTTTCTTAATACTCCAGTTGGATAGTAAATGTCTCAAGGGTAGAACTTCTTGCCTATTTTAGTCAGGATTGTATTCTAGGTAGTCAGAAACAGAGTTTGGAACATATTGAGGACTCAATAACTAATTGTCCAATCAATAAATGAAAGAATAATTATTAGTATGTTCTCTGTGCATTAGAATCACTCTAGGAGTTGTGGGGAGTTTTTCTTTTCTTTCTTTTTTTGCTCCCCTGGCCCAGCTCCACACTGATGAAGGCTAAGGGCTTAAGGCTATGAATCCCAGGAGCCTACATTTTTAGTAAGGAGTCTAGGTGATTTGATTTCAGCTATTCTGGGAGCCACCAGTTCATCCACTCACTAATCTAGAGAAAATCCTGAATCCCAGGTTTTTTCAAGTCACATGGTTATATAGCAAGTTATCAAAGTGTAAGTTGTATTCTGATAAACTTTGTTTCAGTCATCTATGAGCCTGGATTTACTTACTATATTTATTGCTATCCACATTCATGGTTTTTGAGTTTCAGCCACTGAAAGCAAAAATTATGGCTTCTAAACTTACTTTGTGGCCATCTCAAGAGACAAGAAGGGCCTTAAGCTTAAGTACTAAGGGACTTTTTGAGTCTAATGCTGCCTTTGCATAGAACAACCTTATTTCCATGCTAAATTGCCACTATGTCTCTTTCTCCTTCTAGTTCCTGGACATCTCTATTAAATGGACCACCCAGGAAACTTTTCCTCCAAAGTACCTTCATTATGATCCAGAAACCTCTCGCCAGCTCATGTGTGACAAATGTCCTCCTGGCACCTACCTAAAGCAACACTGTACTGCGAGGCGGAAGACTGTGTGCACCCCTTGCCCTGACCACTACTACACAGACAGCTGGCACACCAGTGACGAATGTCTGTACTGCAGTTCAGTGTGCAAGGAGCTGCAGTATGTCAAACAGGAGTGCAATCGCACCCACAACCGTGTGTGCGAGTGTGAGGAAGGGCGCTACCTCGAGGTAGAGTTCTGCTTGAAGCACAGGAGCTGTCCCCCTGGATTTGGAGTGGTGCAAGCTGGTACGTATCTGCTTCCAACATGCAGAAAAACAGGATTGTGCCAAGCTAGATAGTAGTGAAATATTTAAGGGACATCTTAGTCCTGATGATAGCTACAGGATGGCAAATTGCAAAGGTAATGGAACATGCTGGGTATATACTATGTATCTGGATTGCTTCCAAGGCCCTTTCTCTGAGGAATACTTTGCCTCTGCAGGGTAATTTAGTGAGGGATCTCAAATGCAGCAAATTGCTCCCTAATGAGATGCATGATGGATTGCCCTTTTTTAAAGGAACATGCTCTAAGTCGCACCAATGATAGTGGCTATATACCTTCACTTCAGCATGGACATCTTAAGATTGAAGTGCTTTTTGACAAACATCAGAAATGTTAATTGATACCAAGAGAGTAATTATGCTGATATTAATGAGGCTCTGGAGTGCTAACAATGAGCAGTTATAATTAATTATGTAAAAAATGAAATGGTTAGGGGAAATGCATTTCATTATTAAAAATGAAGCTAGTTCTTTCTCTAGCACCCTAGTGGAGTATCTGGAAGGATAAACACTCTAGCAGCCTCCTTAAACAGCTTATTCTTTATGTTAGACAAAACAGATGTCAAGCCCAGTGGAAGCCTTAACCATGAACAAAATGCTTTCCCTTTCTGCATTTCCAGCAGCATAGGTTAGGGCCAGTGTGCGCAAACTCTGTTAAAGCTGCAGCCTCAAATTCTTTTTTCTATTCATGAGCAAACCTTCCATGTAGATAAGAACTTCCTCATGGTTTGGAAAAATCAAGAGTATTCACTTACTCAGCTGGAAGAAGGAGTAATCTGCATAGATTACTGAAATAGTGTTTCTCAACTTCAGCACTATTGACATTGGGGCTGGGGGATTCTTCCTTGTGGGCAGCGGTCCTGTGTACTGTAGGGTATTCAGTAGCAACCCTGGCCTCTACCACAGGGTGTCAATAGCAGTCTTGCCACCATGGGGGCAACCAAAAATGTCTCTAGACATTGTCACAAGTCCTCTGATTAGCAAAACACCCCTGATCAAGAACCACTGGACTAGTGGATGCTAATTATATGTAACCATTTTAATTTTTAAAAGTGAAATCCAAGCAACCTGGGAGGCAGGAGAATCATGAGTTCAAGATCAGCCTCAGCAATTTAGCAAGAGCCTCAGAAACATAGTGAAACCTTGTCTCAAAATAAAAAATAAAAAAGAACTGAGGAATGTAAGTCAGTAATAATGCACCCCTTGGTTCAATCCCTGCACACGCTTGCTCACACACACACACACACACACACACACACACACACACACCTACACCCACACACAGAGTAATAATACATAAAGTCAATTGTTAGATGACAAATACTTTAGGTCTAAATGCATTCAAAAGGAATATCCCCAAATTGAAATCTAGTCAGTCTAAGTAGTGAAACTTAAAAAAAAAAGAGAAACTTAAAAAAAATAATCAAATTGCATCAAGAACCCTAAAATGCCTCCAGTATGAGTATCTGAGTGAGGAACTAGTAACATTTTCTACTTTTTACTGAGTGATATTTGGGACTCAAATGCTAAACCAAATTGTGAAGTGAGGGAAGCCCACCCCACTAAACCAAATACATTGCATTCAGTGCAGTAAGTAGTTTATGCAAAATAATTAAGCATGGTCTATGCAGCTTAGAAACTGAAAAATTCTGAAAAATAATGGAAATGGCAAAAGAGGCTTCATATGCATGAAAGTCTGAATGTAGAATGAAATACATAGGCAACCAGGAGACTTAGGACAAAAGTACATGTTTTATTCTGTGGCACCACAGTGGGGTTTACTTATCTCTTCCGCCTAACAATCCACATGAAAAATAAAAGGTTTCCAGCCCAAGGACAAAGAAGCATTATGTGCTGTTACGTTTTAAAGTATTTAATAACCATCCATTTGTTGTTGCTGCTGCTTTTAAGTCAGATTTTCTTTTCTCCCATTTTATTTACACCTTTCTATCTTCTAGTTGGCCTTCTGATTTCCTATGAGATTACCTATGGTTAGCATGGTGAATTATTAACTGTAAAACCATACTCTTTTCATCATATAATATTTCATATTTTGCCTTACAGGTTGTAATTCTCATATTTCCAATATATTAATAAGGCAGAATCATTACTAGATGAGTAAATCTTTTTATATATAAAAAGTTCTACCAGTTATAAAGAGGGAAGTCCTGTCTAGAAAGATCATTAGAGATCCCTCTACACATAAAGCATTAGTTCTACCATTCTTCAGTCCTTTGGTTAAAGAACTTAAAAGACTAACTTACCTAAAATACTATCTCATACACATGATCTTCTCATTAAGATGCACAAAAGACCTAAATATGTATCCAAAGAATAGCAAGATTCTTCTTTGTGTAGAACCTGTGGGAGTTGGCAAAAGGATACTTGGGTCCATATACCAAATTCAGTTATTCCTAGTGAATTAGCAATGAATGAATGTCCTGAAATTCTTGCTCAAATATCTCTGCTTATGATATTGTAGAATTTGGGGTAGAATTGGATTCCATTTAAGAAAAAGATATAGTAAGAAAGTACATTAAAAAAAATAAAAATAAAAACCTCCTTGTTTTGTAAGTTGGTTCTTAAGATAATGATAATGTCACTACAATGCTGAAAATAGCATTTAATATGTGAAGGTTTCAGGCTGTTGTGGTTTCCTCCTCTCTCTCTCTCTCTCTCTCTCTCTCTCTCTCTCTCTCTCTCTCTCTCTCTCTCTCTCTCGTTTCTGCTAGTCCTTGGTCATTTTTATAGGTCAATGAATCATCAATCTTTTAGAAAGGGACAAGAGATAAAACTAGAACCAATCCATTCGGCTCCTCTTTTTTTTTTTTCTTTCATTTGGTAAACAAAATATAATGAAGTAAGAGGTTGAAATTTTTAATAAATGAAGTTTAATAACTTTCTGTAGCTTTCATTTGTCTCTTTTGCATTTGTTATCTCCCATAAGCCAGAATTGCCTGTAAAATCTACATTTGAATACCCACGTCTAAATTGTTCAACTAGCTTACACTAGATGGAGATATTTTCATATGCAAATACACTATAATGTCAGATCTATCCATGCATAATAGAGTCAAGGGTTTGAAGTTACTTAGCTTTCACAGCTACTTTGGTTGCTGACTGGTTCATATACTCTGATTAGCCATGTCTCCAAATTTATCAAATACCTCACCACAATAAAGTCAGATGTCCTTGCAGTTACCTTTCCTGAAGTCTTAATGATGTGCTCCTTCGCTCAACAGTTCAAGCAAATGGTATATCACTTTCCATTTACTCTTGTGATTCGCTGCAGGCTTACGTTTTTTGAGTCAGCGGCCAACTTTACTGCCACTTTCAGAAGTTTATTGTAACGTTGTAAATTTTTACTTCTCAAGGTTAGTACGCTTACGAGTTGCTTTGCAATTAGGATTCAGGAAAGAAAGAACTTCAGTAGGAACTGATTGGAATTTAATGAGGCAACCTTCAGTGGGTGCTGATTTCGAAGGATGGTGTTACAGCAGACACATGGCAGTTACCTTGATGATATTCCAGGAATAATTGTGTGAAGAATGCAGTTGACAAGCCGCCTTCCTGCCATCCAGCAGAGGCAGGACTAATGAACACCCTCCCCTCCTCTCCTTTCCTCTCACATTTCAGGATCATTTTGTAGGTAACAGCAAAACAAACTTGCATTTGTATTAGGAGAAGGGGAGCCTGCCTAAGGGGCTGACTGTAGAAGTTTTGTTCTCTCTGTCTAATGAAGTGAAAAATGAAAATGCCTAAAGTTTTATGCAACATAATACATAACAGTAGCAGTAAAAACCAAGTGAGAAGTCTTTCCAGAACTGTTTTAAGAGAGTATCTGCTGTGAAAGTATTTGAGAAGAAGGTGCTAAATCGCTTGGTGTTTTTTTTTCTAGGAACCCCGGAGCGAAATACGGTTTGCAAAAGATGTCCAGATGGGTTCTTCTCCAATGAGACGTCCTCTAAAGCTCCCTGTAGAAAACACACAAACTGCAGCATATTTGGTCTCTTGCTAACTCAGAAAGGAAACGCGACACATGACAATGTATGTTCTGCAAACAACGAATCGACTCAAAAATGTGGAATAGGTAATGACATTCCAAACTCTGCCTTTGTCTCATTTTCGATGTCATCTCTCTCTGGATGGAACACAACAGACTCTGGCCAAGTTCTTAGTCACATTTTCCCTGTCTTGATTCTTAACCAGCTTAACATCTGCTAAAGCCACAACTCAAAAATCTCTGAAAAAGTCCTCATCTTCTCACAGATAACACCCCAAACCCTGACTTTCTCCACTTCTTTTCACATTCAAATTCAGTGTTATTCATGGGGGGTGTCAAGTTTGTTACTTGAGGTCAAATTAGCAGAGTTCAAATTGTAGAATTTATGGCCATTTTATCACGTTCTAGAATGACTGTTTTATTAGCCAAATTATAATTGGCAACCAAGAAGCAAGATGACATAAGCTGACGACAAATTAGAACGTATACTTGGCTTTGTCACCAATGGATTTAGACAGTTTAGTGCATGAAGTTCCAAATTCCTCTGGTGGTTCTAAACTCTTTGAGCCTGCCTCATGTTGTTGATGACATTAATCGGACTGGAGTATGCTCTCACCCTGTCACCCAAACCCTAGACTACAATCAGACCTTCCCTGGAGGATATGTCAAACCAAGGGTGATCTGTCTTTGTGCATTAATCAAACAGTAGCATGAACCAGCTTGACTCTCCCCAAATGTCTTTCTGAAATGCTTAGAAGTATTTGAAGCATAGGAATGTGGGTTGATGCATTTACCATTCCAACCAAGTTTCCACATTTCTTCACTATGTTGTTGATTTCTTAGACAAGTTCTCGAACCTCTCTGCTTTCTCATCTAATAATTGAAATAAGGCAAGAGATAATAAAAAGAGTGACTCCTAACTTAAGCAATCTCTTAAATTTATTTAGTTCATTTTAATTTTATTTTTGTCATTAATGGAGCACTTACTATTTGCTAAGTACTTTGCTATATAGGCTTTAAGATTTACAGAAACTTAGTGAATGATAGGTGTGAATATCAGAATCAGGTTCAGATGTAGGTCTGATGAATCTAAAAACAAATTCCCAATCCCTGTAATATATTGACCCTAACCAAATACTTAGGCCATCACAACCCTTTACTAAATGACATTCTTTTTTTAGGTTTGATTATTTTTTTTCAGTTAATGCATGCTATTTTATATGTGTCAGACTGGGGATTGAGCTCAGGGTCCTGAACATACTAGGCAAGTGCTTTACCACTGAGCCACACCCATATCCCTTAATGCATACTTAGAAATCTATCTCCGGCCTTGTTTCCACAGGTAAACTGCATGTTTATATATGTATATATTCATGCTTCTTACAGTCACTGATCATATTGGTTTTGACACTGATCTTGAAGGAAATAAATCTTTGAATGTTAATATTTATATTAAATTATAGAATTTTGTCAAAATATGCAATTTATTTGTAGCTATTTACATTCTTATTTAACATTTATTAAACCTCCCCACACCCCAAATGCCCATAAAAAAAATTAGAAAGCACGTAAGTTCAGTAAGACTCTATCTTTAAGAGCATCAAACTTTGCATTCTAGCATATTGTATCTTGGAAAACACCATTTGCTGCTTTTTGTTTGTTTGTTTTTATTCAAAATACTTCCAGAAACCCAATCTTTGAGTAAATATTTTTGGTTTCCTTACCTTCTTTAGATGTCACCCTGTGTGAAGAGGCATTCTTCAGGTTTGCTGTTCCTACGAAATTTACCCCTAATTGGCTCAGCATCCTGGTAGACAATTTGCCAGGAACCAAAGTAAATGCAGAAAGCGTTGAGAGGATAAAGCGGCGGCACAGCTCACAAGAACAAACTTTCCAGCTGCTGAAGTTATGGAAGCATCAAAACAAAGACCAAGATATGGTCAAGAAGATCATCCAAGGTGTGTACACCTGAGATGGGAGCTCAGTCAGAAATCAAAGATACTGAGTTGTCATAAAACAGGAGCAAGATCACATGCCTGCATAGTTGTGCATGATGTTTCCTTTAAAGAATCAGAGTTGGACTGAACAGGTTTTCAAGTGACAATGTAGATGCTGTTCCTACAGCAGTTGTGTAAGGTTTTGTTCTTGCCCCTGCTCCCAATTTCTCTTTAAAGTGCATTGGATATGCCAAAAGGACTAGACCTTAGGGAATCTGCTTGCAGATCCTTTAGCTATTAGCTTCCCTGCATGCCTAGGAGAAGGTCTTTAGCCACTTTGGATCTTATCTCACATTTCCACCAAGAAGCTATGCTCTGAGTATTTGGCAGTTCTCTCCAGAGAGATGCTACTGTCTTCTGTGGACCCTCCCATTCATTCTCACCACGTGGCCTGTATTAAAATCGCCATTTAAATGGCATGTATAGAGAGGATTCATAAGATAGTGTGAAAAGTGTTTGAGCATCTTGGGAAAAAAAATGGTTAAGACCACATACTCTAATGTTATTTTAGAGGTTTCCAAAGAATCTCCTTTAGAAATGAATGCTGTGTTAGAGAGAGAGAGAGAGAGAGAGAGAGAGAGAGAGAGAGAGAGAGAAATTGAGATAAAGGAGGAGAGAGAGAGAAAGAACCTGTTATGTGATGGAAAACACAAAGAATCTGATAGAAAATGCAAAGAGAGGAAATCTCTGTGGACTATAACCTTGTGTGAACTGTAAGCCTTAGGATATACAATGGAAAGAGTTTCATCTTCAACTATCATTGGGAGGACATGTCAGAAAAATGAGGGTGGTTTTCCTAAAGCAGACAATGCCAATAAGAAATTCATTCTCTCTTCACTCATAGTCAAATGACTGAGCTTTCCTACACCATCCTGAAAACCTCAAACATCTGGAACCAGAGCAGTGGATTTTAGGAGACTAACACATTTGAGAATGGAATGCTTTTGCTTATGCAAAGAGCTAACTTTTCTTCTGTTTTTGGCAAAACAAAAGTGTTCTTTGAACATATAATTAGCCCTGAAGCCGAAAGAACAGGAAATAGAGAATTAGAAACTGTTAGAATTGGAAGGGACCAAATACCCTATTTTATAAATGAGTATATTTTAACTCCCAAAAGATGAACTGAGTTTTCTTGCCTTCAGGCTCACAGATAATAAATGACAAATGTCATTAATAGGAATATTAGTTACTGCCTCATGTTTATGCTCAACTCTCTGCTGAAATATCCTCTGGATGTGTATATCCTCCAGTTCTTTGGACTCACACTCTTCAAAGAGTGCCCATGTCAGTGATCGACCAGAGAAATTTATGTTACAACACAGCTAACCTGACCTTCTTTATTTTCTGAACTGTTATGATCTCAAACTGATCATAGAAAACTGAGAGCAATGTATCTTTAATTCTCTATTAAATTTCAAAATTAGGGGCTCTCACAAAGTTGTATTGGGTGCCTAAAATATATAGCATCTTATTATAGCATGAAATAATATTTATCTTAGTTCTCAGAAATAACTAGTGTCACTTAAGTCACCTGAAAAAAAAGGGGGTGGGAGGAAAGTTTAAAAATTATGAAATTCTGCGAGAACCTTTTGCCTCAGTCTGTTTTTTTTTTTTAATGGCATTATATGAATATAAATGATGTGAAGATCTCTTTGGGCTTTTGCTTTATGCAGATATTGACCTCTGTGAAAATGGTGTGCAGCGGCACATTGGGCACGCAAACCTCACCTTTGAGCAGCTTCGCAGCTTGATGGAAAGCTTACCGGGGAAGAAAGTTGGAATAGAAGACATCGAAAGAACAAGAAAGACATGCAAATCAAGTGAGCAACTCCTGAAGCTGCTCAGCTTATGGCGAATAAAAAATGGCGACCAGGACACCTTGAAGGGCCTCATGCATGCGCTCAAGCTCTTGAAAACATACCACTTCCCCAAAACTGTCACACACAGCCTGAAGAAGTCCATCCGGTTCCTTCACAGCTTCACCATGTACAGATTATACCAGAAGCTATTTTTAGAAATGATAGGCAACCAGGTCCAATCAGGAAAAATAAGCTGCTTATAACCGGACTCACAATGGGCCAGATCTGATGGATAAGTAGACTGTTTCTCAGGCATTGAAGGGGTACAGTGATTTCTTTCTCATCACTAATGGCTAATTTTGCCACAGGGCACTAAAAGCAACTATGATGTAAAGAAAGAACTAAAGTCTCCTGAAAACTTCCCCAATAAACCCCAAATAATTGATCCAACTGTTAGGACTGGCCCAGTGTCCACTGACTGTATGTTCCCATGTTACTGCTTACAGTAATTTAACTGGAAATAATAATAAAAACTAGACTCCACTGTGCCTTTCTAAATGTGGGAATGTCTAACTTAAGTAGCTTTGAGATTTCAGCTGTGCTATGGGCTTTTATTAGAAAGCCACATTGTTGTTGTTTTATTTTGTTTCATTTGCAAAAGTTACTAATATATCTGTAACACTATTTCAGTATTGCTATTTATATTCATTCAGATATAAGATTTGTACATATTATCGTCCTAGAAAGAAATGGTATAAGACTTAATTTAGAAATAAAAACTATATTCTGTTTATTATTATGAAAGATGAAAGAGATAAAATATATATTTTTAATGGAAAGTTTGTAGGGTTTTCTAATAGGTGTTGCCATTTTTTCCTGTGTGGAGTGTTTTTGTGATATAATTTTATCTGTATAAGCTGTAATATCATTTTATCGAAAATGTATTACTTAGTCAATTGTTTAATGTTGGGAAGTGTGTGAATTATAAATGATCTGAATATTAGAAGCTCTGAGAAATTGAATGTACCTTATTTAAGAGATTTTATGGTTTTACTATATAAACATCATTAAAGTTTTCCAAGTATTTTTTACTGCTTTTCCTCTTGTTTGTATTTGAATGGGACCTTATAATGGGGCCTGAACTCTTGATTTCTCTATTTCTCTTTCATCACAGGAATATTTGGGAGTTGTTAAAAATGGAGATTCCCAGGTCAATCTGCTGAAAATTTCAGGGGATGAGGGCAGAAGCCTGTGTTTTTAAGAAGCTCCAAAGTAAATTTTTTTTTAACACTACAATTGGATAATTTCAGAAGTCAGGCTTAGTAAACAGGTGGTACAAGCTACTTATAATTGTTACTACAAACTTTGAGGGGCCAAACTAGTAAGTTCTTCCAGTTGAAAATAATAGAAACTGGCACTACTTAATTTGAGAAAAAGAAGAAATTAATTGGAAGGATGGTTTGTTGTTTGGGTTGAATAATGGTCCCCTAAATTTATGTCATCACAAGAACCTGTGAATGTCACTTTATCAAAAAAAAAAAAAAAAGATTTTGTAGGTGAATTAATATATGCATTTTTGAGATGAAGAGATCATCCTCTTTTATCCAAGTGGGCCGTGAATCCAATGACAGTTGTCTTTATAAGAGACAAACAGAGTGGACAGACAGAAGAGGAAGAGATGATGTAGATGGAGACAGAATTGGAAGTGACTTCCACAGTCAAGGGGTCAGAGGTGGGTTGACCCTCAGCACCTCTATAGGGAGCAGAGCCCTGCTGACCCCTTGATTTGGGGGTTTCTGGCCTCCAACTGTGAGCATAAATTACTATGCTTCAAGCCATCCAGTTCATGGGAAATTTCTACAACAGCCACAGGAAACCAATGTAGGTGGCATCCAAGCTTCAGAAGGCGCAGATGAAAGACAACCCTGGGTCCCTTGGAGGCCAAATTTCCCACTCTTTCTCCTAATTTCATATCTCTATATCCTTCACTTTGAAGTTTCAAATTCCTAGGAGACAGACTTGGATTATTTTAGGTTGGGTTTGTTGTAAAGACAAGGACAGTGAGAGTCTGTCTTTAAGTTTCAATTCCCAAGAAGGAGATTCCCCTGTGATCAGAGTCCACTACATCTTGCCCTTTCCTGCTCTGTCTCCTCTCACTTTACCATGACCTTAGGATATAGGTGTGATGCAGATCAACTCTGTTTATGAAATCAGATCAGTTATGGCCACCTTCATAGAAGGGCATCATGCTGGGGAAATAAAAAGCAAAGGTGTAGTCAAGAGGCTCAAACCTGGGAACCAGCATTCCAGGGTCACCGTCCTTGATGGGGAGAAGGTGTGTCCATTAAATGCCGAAGGTTTAAGCAGGAGGCCAGGGGCTTCCTCACAGGTTCCCTGCAGAAGCCCCAGTTCGGCCACTAAAGTTTCCCTTTCCAGAAACTGCAATGACTATACCTGTTAGCAAGATTTAAGAAATGTGTGAAAGTTCATAGCAACAAGGCTAAATTACTCACAATCTTACTTATTTGGCCTCACTATAGACTCATTTGGGATCTCAAGCTTCTCTTCAAGGGAGATAAAATACATAAAAGACATGTCTCACTTTTTAAAACTTTTAATATGGAATAATTTTTCTTCTTACAGCCCCCTAATGAGATATTTTTCACTTCATTAGAAAATGGTAGGGGATAGGAAAGGTAGCAGAATACAACAGTCACTAATATGCCATTATGTAAAAATGTGAGTATGTAACAGAAGTGAGTCTGCATTATGTATTTGGGGAGTTCAAAACCCAATTGAGTCAAATGTATGAAAGATGATGTCTTGAGCTCTGTAATGTTTTGAACAATCAATAAAAAAAATGGAAAAAAAAAGAAAGTAAAAAAAAAAAAATAGTATTTTAAAACCAAGATCTTTGCTACTGAAGTATCATTCCTTCTAGGCCTTCTTAGTGAAAAAAGCTATGAAAATATGCATCTATATTAATTCACAGATGCATATGTATGAACACATATATGTATAAGTGTGTAAATATGATGTATGTGCGCAAATATCTCTGTGTGAATACAGGTTACATATAAGCACACACACATATGGATACATATGCATGTGTGTATACATGTTTGTACATACACGTGTATGTGTGTATGTGCATACATGTTAATACACATGTGCGTGCATATATACACTTGCATGCATGACTGTGTGTGTATGCATGCATTTCTATGTGCACATGTGTGAATATGCAGTGTTTTTAGTCAGCTTTTTTGATGTTTCGACTAAAAGATCTGACCAGAACAATTTTAGGGCAGGAAGAGCTTATTTGAGGTCTTAGTCCATAGAAGGCCAGCTCCATTCCTCGGGGCTCCAGGTAAGGCAGAACATCATATCGAAAGAGTGTGGCAAAGGGAAATAGATCACATGTTGATCAGAAAGCAGAGAGAGAGATTTCACTCTTCAGATACAAAATGTATACCCCATAGCCACGCCCAAATTCCCATCTCCTCCAGCCACACTCTTCCAGTAGAGTTAATCCCATCTGGGATTAATTCACTGATTAGGCTAAGGCTATAATACAATCATTTCTCCTCTCAACTTTCTTGTATTAACTGTGAGCTTTGGGGGGACACCACATCTAAACCATAACAGCATGTGTGCAACATGTGTTTATGCACATGTGAGTATATGTGTGCATGCATGTATGAGTGTATTTGTATGCATACATATGCATATGTGAGTCTGTGTGCAAATAGGTGTGCATCAGTGTGTGCATATTTGTGTAATTTACATGTGTATATGCATGTGTGTCTATATATGTATACACATACATGGATATGTGTTTGTATATATGTGTGTGTTTAGTATAAACCACACATACATACCTCACTAAGTTTATTCTAGCTTTTATCCTCCTTCTCCCTGATTATTTGAATTTCTGTCTCAGAGTGAGAAACATTCCTGACATGATATATAACATTTGTTTGTTTCACCATAGATGCATATCAAGTATCTTCAGAATTGCTGAGATTTACCCATACGAGAAACAAATTTACCCATTAGAATGCAGTATTATTATACAGATCCTTTGTCTCTAATTCTATAGTATCCACTCAAAACACTGGTTTCCAAAGTTACTTAGGCTAGGTCTTTTTGTCCTCATCCACTTATATGACATTATATGAAATACAGTTACACTTATTTGTTACCACTAAATTCCATCCTGGGATTTCCCTTACATCTTGGATGTTTTGAATTTACATACATTTAAACTTTTTTTTTTTTTGGTGGCAAACTAAAGCATTTGACAAGAACACAGTACCTGGCATCCACAGCTAGTGTCATACCTACCAGTTCTATCATCTGACAGTGTTGTGTGCCTCCTTCATCATCAGTCCTCCCTGCTTCTACCAACTCTTGTTAACCACTGAACTCTTCCCCATCCCTATAATTTTGCCTTTACCAAAAGTTCATGAGAACCAATTCACATAATATATTGCTTTTTGTGACTTTTTAAACTTAACAAAATGCATTTAAGAATCTATTCATAATCCTGTGTGAATCAATAGTTTGCTGCTTTATAATTCTCAGTAGCACTTCATCAAAAAGATATTCCAAACTCTTGGTTATTCATTCACCTCTTGAAGTACACTGTAGTTGTCTTGTTTGGGGATAATAATGTATAAAGTTGCTATAAATGTTTGTATATTCAATTAACTTAGGCAAATACCAAGGAGTAGGACTGTTAGGTCTTAGTAGTGTTTGTATAACTTTGTAAGAAACTACCAAATGCTTCCATGATAGCTGTACCACTTTGCATTCCCTCCAAGAGATGTTTTTTGTTTGCTTATATGTTTGTTTGTTTGTTTGTTGGTACTGGGACCTGAACCCAGGCATGCTTTGCCATTGTGATACATTCCCAGACCTTTTAGTTTTGTTCATTCTTCCTTCCTTTCTTATTTATTTGTTTATTTATGTATGTATGTATGCATGTATGTTGAGATAGGGTCTCCCTAAGTTGTTGAGGTTGGCCTTGCATTTGTGATTCTCCTGCCTCAACCTCTAGAGTTGCTGGGATTATAGGTGTGCACCACCACGTCAACCCTGAGGGAGAGTTCTTACAGTTTTACATCTTGACTAGTGCCTCATATTGTCAATTTTAATTTTTCATATATCATCCATTTCTGTATTGTATGGCGGTATCTCACTGTGTTTTAATTTGCATTTGACTAATGATTTATGACTAATTATATTAGTCTGCTAAGGTTGTCATATCAAAATGTCACAGGCTGGGATGGCTTAAACAACAGAAATTTATTTCTCACAGTTGTGGTGGCCAGAAGTCCAAGATCAAGGTGTTGTCAGGGTTGGTTTCTGGTGTGACCTCTCTTGCTCATGTATAGATAGATGACTGTCTCATCCTTGTGTCCTCCAGGTTCTTCCTCTGTGCAGATGCAGAGAGTGCTCCAGTGTCTCTTCCTCTCCAGATAAGGAGACCACCTTAGGACTCCACTTAGCCCTAATTATCTTCCTATTGGCCTTGTCTCCAAATACCTGGGACAGAGAAGGGGTTGTGCACACAAGGGGTGTCGGGTAGTGATTAGCATATGAATCAGGGAGGATACAAGTGAGTCCATAACTCTAATGATGTTGAGCATCTTTTCACTTATTTATTGGCATGTCTATCTTCTTTGGGGAAGTTTCTGTCCATTTTAAAAAATCATATTGCATACTTTCTAACTATTGAATTTTAAGAGTACTTTACCTATTCTGGGTGCAAGCCCTTTATCAGTATGTGCTTTACAAACAGTTGCTCAATCTATGGCATACTGTGTGTTTCACAAAGCAAAAGTTTTAGGTGTTAATATAGTTTAGCATTTTTAAAAAAGAATTGTGCTCTCAGTGTCATATATAAATATTCATCACCAGATCCAAAGCCACACAGATTGTCTTTTTTCACAGGTTTATATTACAAATTTAGTTTCCTGAACTACTTTAATTTTTGTACAGTGTGTGATATGTTGAAGTTTTTTTTGTTTTTGTTTTTGTTTTGCATATGGATGTCCAATTGTTCCAGCATAATTTGTGAAGACTAATAA